TTCCGCGCCTCCGTAACCTGGGCTGCTTTTCACCAGCCAGTATCTCTTCTCTCTTGATTTCTGCTAGGATGCTCTTCTGCTTTTTTGGAGATGCATGTCATCTTGAAATACATTGTGGTGCTGTCTTTACAGATATGTAGAATTTACTTTTCTAAGTTCTGTAGAGGCTCTTGCAAACAGATGCAGTTACCAGGAGTTAAATAAAGCCATTAATGCAGAAATACAGTTAGCTTAAGAAATGTCCCAATTTCTGAGCAAATGTGCCTCTATGGAAGCTTGATTCTCTTGTTGGAGTTTGTCACCTGTCTGCTGTCTAACTTCATTAAATACAGAAGAAAAAACTATTTTTGGGATGCCATATCACAAAAATAACACCATTCCAGCAGAACTATTTTAAGTTACAGCAATGGGTGGAAGGGAGGTGCTCTAGAATTTATTCTAGTACCCTTTGTCAACACTGATCTTTCTAAGGCACCCAATGTCTTCCTCAGAAGCACTTCTTAAAAATGCAGGGAGGACCACATTCTTCATACTCACTCCTGTAAATCCAGAGCTCCTGGAAAGCATGGAGTGAGGCCAGAATAGACCCACCAATCCAGACAGAAGACCTTCTTTGAGGGGATGCGGCTATGACAAAGTTGTCAGTGGGGCACAATCTGGCCAGTTCCATGTGGAAGCGGTCAGCAAAGTTCTCCATCATCGTGCTGCCCCCACATAGCAGGATATTCCCCACCATTTCTTTCTTGAGATTGGCAGGACACTTGTGGAGACAGCTGAGTGTCAGCTGCAAAAGCCCTGGCTGCTGTGAGCCAAGTAGGGCTGGTTTGAAGAGCGCTTCGGCACAAAGGAATCTCTCCTTGCCCATGGTGACAAGGTGTCCATCTGGCAGCTCATAATCCATTTGCTGTTGCTGAACAGGCAAACTTGAGTCCTGTCTGAAGTCCAGAGAAGTGTAACAACACTTCTCTTTGAGATATTGTACCATGCTTAGCTGGTGTTCTGTGAACGCATATCCAGACTCATTTAGTAACTTCATGAGATAACATGTGATGTCCAAACCAGCATAATCTACTCTCCCAGTGGTGCTACGTATAACATAACCTTGATAGATGGGAACCACATGTGAAGCACCATGGCCACTTTCCACCACAAGGGCTGAGGTTTTTCCATAGGAGTACATGGATAAATGGGACTGGCAGGCAATGTGGATAGCAGGCAGGTGAAGTCCTTCAAACATAATCTCAGCACATCTCTCTTTCTCAGTGATGGAACACAGGGGAGGCAGTGATACCAGAACAGTGTGCTCCTCTGGCTGAATCTTCATCTCCGTCTGCAAAATATGGTCCAAAGTATCTTGGACACAGTTCCAGTCCACCACTATGCCATGTCTTACTGGGTTGACAAGTGTTAAGGGTAAGATGCTATTCTGAATCTCTTTTCCAACAAAGGTTTCTTTTTGATCACTCCCAGTCCCCTGCGTGGGCTTACCAACCGTAGATGAAACAATGCAGGAAGGGCCTGGGTCTCCTGCAAAGCCACACTTAAAATAACCTGTGCCAATGTCGACAACTACTGCTTCAGCTTCCTTCCTGGCCTTGAGGCTATCCCTGGTCACAGGTTCATAGCCGTCCCTTGCAGTCTTCACATGGCTTGTGTCCGCTGCTGCCATTCCTGAGGCCGTTGTCCTGCCAGGTGGAGTGGTCCACCTGCATCCAGCACGAGCATCCTGGAGCCCTGGTGGCAGTGGTTCTGCTGATGCCACTGACTTATGTCATAGATAGGCCTGCCCCTCAGAAACCAGAGCTCTGCATGCAAGTGTGTGACGATTGTGACTTACACAGCTGCAACCTGCTCTGAAGGGTACTCAAAAACATGACGCCCACCCACATGTGATGAGCCATGAGGCCTAAACAGTGCACTTAAATGTGAAGCAGCATAGCTTTTCTGGCCTGCATCTGCTATGTGAGGAAGACCACAGTTCTCCAGCACTCGCAGCTGCACTTGGTCCAAAATAAATGCTGTTGCTAAGCATTAGTGCTACTTCACCTCTAGGGCCAAGTGAAGCCCTGGGTCAACTCTGTAAATATTACTAATGTCAGCAAAACTGAAGTATGACAGCCAACCCTCACCCTTAGTATCCCCCATTCCACTACAGGAATGGCTTTGTTCTTTTCCAGCAACAATAGGTCATTGCTTCCCCCAGTGTGTAAAACACACTGCTACCTGGGGGCAGGGAAGAGGACACCCTCTCCCCCCCCCCAAATACATTATTATTAGAATGGAAGTTGTGTGTGCTCTTTTACTGAAAGCCATTTTACTCAGAGGGCATATTACTTAAGTCAGAGGTGGGCTTAGAATGAAATTGAACCCTATAAACCAGTTCTGAACTCATATTTTTATTATTACTGTTCTGCTGCCTACCTGGGAGTTCACATCTTGACGACAATCAAATGATAGAGGCTCACCAAAATTCCAGTGTGGAGAAACCACACTATTTCTGTACCAACCTCAACATATGAAGCCAAGCAACTGCAAACCTTGATAGTTTATTACTCTGGGGAGTAGTAAAGCTGGTCACTGCATATTATACATGTATTTTTATATACAAATTATTAAATATACCCTTGTACGTGAAAGAGAGAGGCTGCCCCTCTTAGGGCCTGAGCAGCAACTCATCCTAGAACCCTGATGAGGGGTGATGCCTGCTCCGTGGCTAAGGGGAAGTTCAGCAGCAGTGAAATCACCAAGCCATGGTGTGGCATAATGAATGCTCCTTCCCATACACTCTGGTACATCCCATCCCTTTGACAGTTTTGCTGTCAGCAACACCAGCCTCTGCAAAATTACCACTTAAGAGGAACTTCAGTGAGAGGCAGAAGACAAAGAGAAAGACCTCTAAATCAGTTTGGTTCTTTCCTTTCTCAGTAGAAACTCAGATCTGGGCTCAGCTCTTCAGCTTCTAAATTAAATCCTTTAATCTAAACAAAACAGTTCTTCCACACATTAGCGTGGCAGTACCACAACAAAACTGCAAACCCGCCTTCAATTTCAGAAGTCACTTTATTTTATGTTGGGTTTTTTGTCTAAGCTATTACAAAGTCAGTATGCTGCCATTTCGAGGCTACTTTTTCATGCATTACATTCGTCATTCCAATTAACAAAAAACATACATGTCCACTGACATTTCAAAGTCTCTGTTTTAGCCTGACATGTGAAGACAAGGCTGTAAGATTATTTTGCAAAGTCATTTTGGCCAATGTTTCCTGAGATGTTCCTTTAACTGTGGGATAGTGGACAGCTGCTGTTTGCAACAATGGCATCTGAGGGGCGATTTGAGAAGTTCAGAGACATGATCTTTCACCACCACTTTTCCCTTGCTTCTTACCATCTCTATCACATCTGGGGGGAAAAAAAAATAGAGATCAGAGACACTGGGACCATGTAGCATCGTAAAACACAGGACACTGCAGGATCTTTTTGCTCTGCTTCACACATACAGCTTGTCATCACTGCATTCTAAGTTAAACCACTCACAAAATTCAGTTGACTTTTACTTGGTGCTATTCCCCAGTATCTGAAATTACATAACGCTTTTCACCTATTACAACAGAAATTATGGCTTCCATATTTGTTTGGAAAAAAACCCAAAGCCAGAACCCACAACCAGGATTATGTGTTATGAAATACCTTTTCTAATCATTACCTTGAGAGTTTAAGAAGTAATCTGTAGTAAAAGAGTTCCAGTGCTTTTTGGTTTTCAGGGCTGGAGAATCAAAATCCTGGCTGATTACATGCAAATGTAGCTGACTGAGAGAAATATATTATATAGATAAGAGAGATTAATGTTAATGCTCCAAGTTCTTTAGCAGTACAATCAGTTGCAAACATGATTCATCACAGTTGGACTGCCAGCCTTATGGGTCAATCTTACCATCTTTGACCTACAGTCCCACAACAGCCCAGCCTGTTCTGGAAGAAGTGTCTCATGCCATATCCACTGGCCTCTACCTACAGTCTACATTGCTATTTTACATTATATAGATGTCAAAAAGGTAGAGACAGTGGTTTTAATAAATCAAAGGTTTAAACTTTGTGGAGTATCTGAATGGGACTAGATCAGTGACTCAAAGCTTCATGCAAGAACTGGAGAACAACTTAGGAACACTGACTGCAATACCCACAGGCATTTGGATGCTGTAAGATCTGGACTTAGTTACATGTAAGATTCAAATCTTCGCTCAGGATAGCCTCAGCTACAGAGCTCTGCTAGGGGAACCCAACATGCATTTCCCCACTGGACCCAAGATGCCTCTGTAGCCCGTTGGCATGTAAGCAGCAGTGTGTGCGCAGCTGCACCCAAGGGACTTGTGGACAGACTGTTTGTAGTGTTTATGAGGATTCATTGTCCTTTAGCAAAGCTAGGTCATGCTACAGATTTAGCCCCACATCTGTATAACCTGCGGAACAGGGCTGCCATCCGATGACACATCTCAGTCTTACCTCATGCTGGGGATAGCATGGTAGCCCAGCCTGAACTCCAGACTCTCTCTGGCAGGGCATTGGTCAATCATCTGTTGCCCAACTGCATGCATATGTTCCAGAAGTTCAAGATAGTCCCTGTTGACTGATTTCAGACTTGAAATGGGGTCCCATGGTAAAATAAGCCAGTGGTAACGTGCTTTGGGATATTTATCCTTGATGACTACAGTCTTTTCATCTTTGTAAACCTTGCAGAACAAATAACTAGATTATTTACTGATTGAAAGTTAAATAACTTATTCCCATAAGCACTCCATAAACACTATATTTAGTGTATTTTTGAGATGTTATCCATCTGCACGTCCCATTGTGGTTGCAGAAGTCCCTAAGCACACATACACGTTGCTAGTGGAACTAGGACTGCCAGAAAAAAAAGCCAGGAAAGATTTGTAGGTGGGGAGAAATACAAGCAGCAAAGGATCCCACTTCAAGGAGAACTTCTGCTGGAACTAAGCTGGTCCAGGATGTGCACTCTCTTCCATACCATGCACTAGGCAGCTATTGAGAGATGTTCCAGTATCCTTCTGTATACACTTTAAGAAAAAAACTTTCTATTCTTATAGAGCTAGACACAGGTATGAACTCTTTTGAAAATCACCTGGACTCAGATACCAGTGAGGTCTAGGGAACTTCTTCCATCAGGCTATGTTCAAGCTTTGCAGTCACTGAAGCAACAATCACGGCACTGCGCTCAATAGAAAGCATGTAGGAATGCACTGGAGTACCTCACCTTTCAGAGATTTCTGGAGTGAAAGACAAATCTCAGAGGTGCCACAAACAGCATGCTCAGTGCTGCAGACCTCCGCCAGCATTACAAAGACAAAAACATTCAAGTCTGAGCTATCTCAGTTCATGCTACGCAACACATTTTGCTAGATCACAAAAAGGAGAACAGATTCCTGACTATCTTGACTATGCCCTTCTTCGCATTTTTGTTTTGTTTTGTCTTCTGCAACAATGTGATGCAGCTGACAAGAAACAGTAACAAGGCATGTGGAGAACAGGAGGGACAACCTGCCCTGACAATAAAAATCTGTCAGGTTCTGAAGCAGACACTGTGTGCTGTGTCTCTGGTCTCTTAGCAGTGCTCTGTTGGTAAGAGATGGATGGTGTCTTTGTCATCTTTGCTAATTATTCTCATATACACAGAACTGATCAGTCTTGCTCTACAGGAAGGAATATTAAAATTTTATCAGCACACAAATCATAGGGCTGATTCTTTCAGCAGCAAGACTGGTTGATGCTGTCATATTTTGATATACATAAAACAGTGTCTGCATATGCAGCCAGTGGGAATAGGATCATTATCAGGTGTTTTCAGATGAAACATTGCCATTTATTTAATATTTTATTAAGAAGCAAAATACAGAAATTCTATTCTTTGTGTATTTAGTTCAGAACCACAACAAATAAAGCTAACACTAAGTCACAGTCAGTCATTTGTGTTCTAACATTCAAAAACAGTTTTAAAACCACCCTATCTTTTGGGTCAAGAAAGCACTCTCTTGGTAAGTGCTATATGAAATTCTGCTTAAAGGATGAAGATTAAACTTCATGTTTAAAAGGGAGCAAGTATTTCAATAACTTTGTCATTCCCTACAGAAAGACTCATTTGAAACTGCTGGCATGTCCAGAAGAATGGGCATCCAATTCTCCTACAGCTCTACATAGTTCAGCACTTTAGACTTAAATTAAAAGCAGCAGCAAGAAACAGGGACCTTCTGATTTGTTATCAAGGAAATTATTTTCAGCCTAAGGGTGATCATCACTTGAAGCAGCCCAGCAAGGCTGTAGGATCTTTGCCCTTAGAGATCATCTCCAATCAAATGGATGAAGGCTGCAGCAACCACACCAAGTGCAAGTGGTCAGACTGAGAGACCTCCATAGGTCTTTTTTCCAACTGAAATTATTCAGTGATTTCAAGAACCAAGTATCACTGGTGTCTGTGGTATCTGTCCTCCCGAACACATCTCTAGTGTTACGATGGCCATGCAACAGTCAGCCAAAACACAAGCTGAATGAACCCAAGCCTCAGGTCTTACTCTGCCAGACAGTGGAATATTGATAGAAAGCACTGTCCCTGTTTTGGACCTGAGCTAAAAAGCTTGGTTTTGAGAAGGGGTTGTCTATATTCTTGCCTTAACTTGAAAATAAAATGCAAGTAGGTTGTGTACATGGATAGGGAAGATTCTCTCAGGGCTTTCTTATAATACAGTAATAAGAAGGCGTGTATCCTCCCCAGCCACAAAAGACATTTGTCAGATTTCTGCATCCTGAGTCTGACATCCCCAGAAGCAGGCAGCAAACAAAAAGAGAGCTCAAGATAAACCATTACGCAGCCACAGGGAAGCAGAGGGAGGGAGATGCATCTGGAGCATCTCCAGACGGGTTAAAAGAAACCACCCAGGAAATTCCTGTTGGCACAAAAATACTTGTGGAGGAGCAGCCAGGGGTCATATCCTGTCAGCTGACACAGAGGTGTTACAGTTAGGAGTCTGCTGGAAACCAGGAAACTGCACCAAGCTTGGAAACAAGGCAGTGCTTACTGCTGGAAAACAGGAACCTCCACTACTTGCTCAGCTTCAAACCACACCCCCATTTTAGTTGGTACCCCTGAAGAAACAAAGCAACTGCACTGCTCACCTGCTCTCCCAACAATCTTTTTTAAAATCTGTTGGCCAAATTTGACAGTGTGGAGAGCTCAAAATTGATTAAAATAATAACATTCTGTATGATCAGTATAGCAGACTCCCAAATTAGTGTTACTACAGAGAGAGATGCAAGTACCATTCAGACCATATGCAGTACTCTACTGGTTAATCAGGCAATTAAACTAAACTGCAGTAGGAAGAAAGCAACCTCATTTGACTGTTAGACAGGAACTAAAAGTAAAGTACAAGCATGCAGCTCTCACCTGCATTTTCGGATCTTGCATGGAGCAATTTAGACCCTGACTCCAGTGTCCTAAGTGTTCCTAAAGCACAGAAAAAATAATTTATAAGATAATTAAGAATGCCATTATATGTTTTAAAGCATTCAGTAAAGAACTTTCATTAGTATACAGCAGTAAAATAACAGCTGAATGACAGCTGAATAATTTGCTTTCCAAAAACGCCAACACACCTGCTCCAACTGCCACCACACAGCTACTTTTGAAAACTTTTAACAAGATACTGTGTTAAGATTCAAAGTTAAACCTTTCAAATGTTGGAAATTTAACAGGCAGCTCTAGATCTGTTTGAATAGAATAGAATAATTTTTGCAAGTATGTTACAGCATTGATTAGTATGATGACAGATGATTTTACTAAAAGACCCTCTGTTTCATGGATCACAAGGGCCAAAGGATGTACAAGAATCTCCATTTACTATCCTATCGCATGCTGCTTTGCACAGAACAAAGAAGTGGTTGTGGTATGTGGCCCTACTCTTAGATGTATTTACTTTTTGATATTGTGCAGGAATGAATGGCTTGTACAGCAAACAAGAAGGGTATGGGAAGATCAAGCCAACACTCAGGTATCTCTGATAGCAGATATCTCTTGGTTATTGAATGCCTAATATAAGGTGCCTCGAGTGCATTTTTTTCACTTTTTTATCCAGAACAGATACCTGTTCAGATCACTTTACAGGCTTTATCAACAATGATCTTTATCATATTCTTATAGAGGAAGATGTTCAAACATTATTATAGTGCTGACAGAGAAACAGTGTGAATTGTCTTGTCTTCCTGCTTGTAATACCACAAATCTGGCCCTAATGTAACTAGTCTGAGTTCACAAATGAAGTAAGTGGTCAACCCACCGCCACCTGGGACTGAAGTTTTGTCCTGAGGGGTTTCATTTCTCTGTCTTCTTCTCAAACAACTGCAGCATTACAGTTCCAGATGCACTAAGCAGTCTCTTATTTTGCCCATGTCAGCAGGGCTCAAAACTCCCTTTCAAAATATCTTTGCTGGTAACATTCACTAATGTGAACTAATGTGAACACTGTTCTACCAGGAGAACAACCAAAACAGGGTGAAAAAAAGCAATTACAAAAGAAAAAAAGAGGGTCAAGTTGTTCCATTTTCTGTGCTTAAGGTTCCAGGTAACCATTGCTCTAATTGAAACACAGATTTAATCTCAAGAGCCAGCACCACATCCTTGTGTGACTCCAGCTAAATTGAGCTCATGTGGACTGCTCTTCAAGCAGAAACTGCATCAGGAACCAAGAGATTAAATCTTCACTCACTACATGCAAGCCTCTTCACACACATGCACAAACCCCAGCTCAGGTTAGAATGGGCCCCAGGTAACTTTTTCAGGACCTGGGCAATGTCAGGAGCAGAGTCTTTGCCTCAATGCATCTCAGATCATATGCACTGAACTCTGAGGATCTGTGTTCACCTGAGGCATTTCCCCATCAGTAGTACTCAAAAATGTAAAAGAACACAGCACTGACAGAGGAGACAACCCCAGGAGAAACAGCACAAGCACTAATACACTTGCCTTTTTGCTTGAAGTCCCTTCATGTGGAGATACACTGATACTGCTTTGCTTGGGATTTGCAGAACTGCCTTGTGTATCCACCACCTCCATCTTCATTGTTTTTCTGGGCACAAGCTCTACATCATCATTCTCGCTGGAGTCCTCACATGGTGTCTTGTCAGTTTGTATTCTTTCTTCTGCCCCTGTAACAGTTTTCCCTAACTCTTCAGCAAATTGCACCACGTAGGGGTAAAGTTTATTCACAATATGCAGAACTTGGCCTGGCTTCATTTTCACCTCTTCATCCCTGCCAATATTCACAAGATCAACACTCGTTGGGTTGACTCCTATCTTTGGTAGGGAGAAAAAGGAAAACAAAAAAAGCAAATGATGTTGTAACTGGAATTGCAACTACCACTCTTTGTCCTGGACTATCGCTACCCTGGAAAGAAACATGGATTGTATTCACTACACCCACTCCCCACGCCAACCTGCTCTTCCTGATCAGGGAAGTCCAATGCTGGAGACACCTCTGCATGGCCCAGTCCTGCACCCACAGCTGTCAGGACACATCCCTCAGGGGCATGGTGCCACAGAAAGCCAGCAGTTCTGGAGTGGCTGGCTACAGAGTTACAGCAAGACCTATGCCACACTTTGCTCAAAAAAATTAACAACCAATTAAACAACTGTTAAAATAATAACAGCCTTGGTAACAACTATTTCTGAAGAGTTTAAAATTATTTCAGTCCAATCATCCCCAGAAAGCTTCCTGTTTTCAGATTATTTTACTTTATCGTTCTTCTACATTTTGTTTCTTCTTTCTACCAAATGCTGTCCTATTAACATATTTGCCTTCAAATACACAAGCACACTCAGGAAAAATGTCTCTCAGAGTTCACTATGCAGAAATCAGCTCCTTGCTTCTGTCCTTCTTTTCCCCCCAGCCAAACATAACCTTCCTCCAGCCCAGAAAAGACTGTGTTCAAACACACTGACAATACTTGCCTGTTTGTTCCTTCAAGAGGCTAAACCTCTCTGTCCACTTCAGTTTGTGCAAAGTATATACCAGCCTCTGTATTTTTATGCTTTTCTTTTCATTTTGCATCTTACACTTTCACAAAACCAGCTCTTTTTATTCTGTTCTAGCAGAAAATGAGGACAGCAAGGTCAAATTCTAACCTTCCTCACTCATTGCATCAGTTTATAGCTCTGTGCAACTCTAAAACAATGTTCCCCTCAAAACATTGTTTTAAAGACTGAGAAGTTATCTGAAATTTAGCTGATAACTGAAAAGCAATACCTTTTCCTCTGTCTCAGGCATAACTGGTAACACAAAGTGACATGGGCAATCTACAGGAACTGCCTGAATAGGTGGATTTTTATGCAATCATGAGGGTAACCCTAGGGAAATTAGGAGTCTCTGACTTCAGCAAAATGCTTTTGGTTAATGTTTATGCATTAAACAAGCTTTAGGAAACCAGCTCTTCCCTGCAACTGATAACCTATCACAGAATGTCTCTTTAGCTTCGTCAGTGCAATACCTGCCTGCTTCACAAGATGGTACTGTGCCTTTAATCACTTCAGTCTACAGTTTCACTCAAGTCAGGCACCATTCACATCCTCCAGGCTGATATGCTATCAAACTGATTGCTGAACCCTGTGCCACACACAAATGACCTGGGAAACAACTTTTAGAGCAGGCAGTGAAATGCCCTAAGATACACTGCCAGAAAGTATTCCCAGCCTTGAGATTCCAGTAAGATGGTATTCAAATGGTGGCTATGGCTGACTTCTGTGAAAACCTGACCTGAGAGATCTTAGCTGTATTCAGCTGGTGGGGTCCCTGTGCTTACTGAGCTCTGGAGACATTTTGACGAATATTGCACTTCAGTAGGCAGAACATGTTGATGTGTTGTCCACACATGAGGATGCTGCAGGTGCACATCCAGCACCTGAAGCCACAGAATTTTCCCTTCATACTATCGCAGGGATACTGCTCTTCATAAGTACAAGAGAATATGCTAGTTAGTAACATGAGTGTGCCTTCAGTGCTGTCTCATATCCCATCCCTTCCCAGAGGTGACCACACCTTTGGCTCCATTAGCGATCAAAATAAAAACCTTCCACAACTGCCCAGTCCCATTAACACAAGAATCAATTTGACCTTAAATTAAGGGATGCTTCAGCCTTAGAAGTTTAAGGCTCAGAAGGCAGACCAGCAAGCTTAGGAGAAGAACTCCAAAATCTCCCAAACATAACGCTGGAAGAACAGGTTAAGGATTCACATCAGCATTCAATGATGCTGCAATGTGGCTGTCTGAGACTGGAGCATATCTGGAAGGCACAGTGTAGTCTTTCTGTTGAGGTACACACACACAAAAAAAAAAAAAGAGAAGGAAGATCCCTTCCAAGGACCACTCGTTGTGCTCTCCATCATGACAGTGTCAGGGCCTTCAGACACAGTGATCAGAATCATCACTGCAGCATTTGTGGAGCTTAAGTACAACAATCATCCCAGTAAGCATCAGAAATATTGTACACCCATTTAAAAACATACCTGCTTAACTGTGACATACCCCTTGTTACAGTCTGCTTTTAGCTGAACTGAAAAAAAAGAACAAAGTATCACAAAACAGTGTAAATAAAA